CGTAGAACGGAATAGAGAAAGAAAGAAGAAAAAACAGTATCTATCGCACATGAGAGTGAAGATCACAAATTCTATCTATTCCCTGCGTGAATTTTCAGATTTTACACAGACGAGTGTGCTCGTGTGTATCACTTGTACACAACAAATTGCATGCCAGAAACTCTCTCCTACGAAACTTTCAGGTGGTACGAGCAGCGGACTTAACTCGGCTGGTGTAGGATCGAGCGTGATCACCACCATGGATTTCTGCTATCTCGAGCCGTGCATGATGCATGGTAAATGCGTGTCACGCCAGGATCGTTACGAGTGTCACTGTTACGCCCGATATTCAGGCAACAACTGTCAAATTGACAACGGTAGACCGATTGAATATCATCACGTACGGGGGAGAGGAGGGAGATTTTGGCACCCGAGCGAAAGACAGATCCATGGCAAATTATACGATTCCTCCTTGTTCTTATCTTCATTCTTATTTAAACCCTTTGCACTCTTTAGCTTAGACGAAGAATTTCTCGAGATGATTTGAATGAGATGAATTAAAAACTTTCAAAATATTTTATCTATCTATCTTCACGTGTAAAGAGAGAATCGTCGAATATTGTTGCTCGATTCCGATAACCGATTCCAATCTCGTTCATCGTCGTATATTATTCTTATTTTTCATCTTCTTGTACCGATCTACTAACATCTCTGTTTCAATCGCTGTTTTCCTTCTCTCCGTTTCTTGACGGAATAGAAATGATTTCGTCGTTATTCGACGACGAAAAGATTCATCTTGAACTAATTTTCGCCCGCTATTTTCTCTCTCTCTGTTTCAATCTCTCTCAACGAATCAGAAATCATTCAGTTAATTAGTCAATAACTAACGAAGAATCAAACTTGAATTAATTTCATTACAGTATTCATGAAAATACGCTTGCAAAACTCGGAAATATATTTGAAAATAATATTTCCATCGCCGTCATTTCAGAGAAAAATCCAACCATTATTAAGATTGAAGAGGAATCTACTCGTTATTAGCGATATTTTAAAAAGAATCAAACGTAGATGAATATTGCCGTTCGAATTGCTGCATCTCCAATCCAAGTGGCGATTAATCCTGGAGAAAGAAAAGAAAAAGTTCGTTGTTAAGCAGTTCTTTGAATTATTAAATTATTTCACGTTTCGAGCGAGAAGTGCTCGAAGACAAGATTTTGTTTCGCGAAAGTAAATATATTACAAAAGGAGAAAACAATAAATATTTAGATACGTCTTTATACGAGGATACCACTCGTCTCTCGAAGTGGTTTCGTCTTTGGGAGGGGAGAAGGGAAAGGAAAAAAATTCATATATCTTCTTCCTATGTTTCACATTCAAAATAGAATAGAAATTTCAGATAGAAATCTAACCATTTATATTGTTCTACGCTTTATAAGATTGAAGAAGAGGAAATCTATTTTAAAAAGAATCGAACATTCGAATTTCCTTCTTCAAGTGGTGGCGGAGAGCGCAAAGGGTTGAAAATTTCGAAAAATATCGATCGCCATGTATTCTCTTTTTAGACTTCAGATATTAACCTTGCACGAACGCTTTCCTTTCGCTTGCAACAATATCACATCCTTTAAATTCTACTCCTCCTAATCGTAATATCTCCAAACAAATTTCTCTCTCTCTCTCTCTTACGCAGCATGTCTCTTATCCAGCAACAGGTGTTTGGGCTTCACTGTGTGTCGCACGCTTCTTCATTTCCAATAAGAAATCGGCTAATAATAAAATGGCGCGACGAATTCGACAGGTCCGCCGTGCTCGAGTGGGCCATGCCGCAACGGTGGCACGTGCAGCGAGGACGCGAAAGGGGACTTCAGCTGCGCGTGCAAGCCCGGCTTCACCGGGCTTCACTGCGAGTCGCAGCTGGGCGTGCGGGTTTGCGAGCAGAGCCCGTGCAGGAACGAGGGCGTGTGCTTGGCGGTGACCGAGGCCGAGTACAAGTGCGACTGCCAGCCTGGATGGAGCGGGAAGAATTGCGAGGCGAACATAAACGAGTGCTCGCCGAACCCTTGCAGGCACGGCGGGGTCTGCATCGACGGCGTCAACAATTACACGTGCATATGCGAGCGAACTGGGTGAGTCCCCTTTCCTCCCCCCCCCCACTTCCCAAACGAGGATTTCTCAACGAGGACGAAACGGCAGGTACGAGGGGTCGAGCTGCGAGGTGGACATCGACGAGTGCCTGGCCAACCCTTGCCTGAACAACGGCGTGTGCTACGACAACTACGGCGGCTACATATGCCACTGCCCGAACGGTTTCGAGGGGCAGAACTGCGAGCTGAACTTGAACGAGTGCCTGTCCAACCCTTGCAAGCACGGGGCTGACTGCGTGGACGACGTGGGCTCGTACCACTGCAACTGCCCGGCCGGGTACGCGGGCCGCCACTGCGAGCTGAGGAGTTTGTGCGAGAACGCCGCCTGCCCCTCGAACAGCATCTGCGTGGAGGACGCGCACGGGCCCCAGTGCGTGTGCAATCCCGGCTACATGGGCAACCCCCCCAATTGCACCGTCAATTATTGCGCGAATAACCCGTGCGGCAACGGGGGCACTTGCACCAGCAACAAGGACGGGTTCAATTGTACCTGCCCGCCGGAATGGAAAGGTGAGAGGATGCTCGTTGACGCTATCCACGTTTCCCACCACGAGCGAACGAACGTTTGTATCTTATTATTATTAACCCTTTGCGCTCGAACGCTGACTCTCCGCCACCACTTGGATCGATGCGGCAATATTTATCTATTTGTTCCATTTTTTTTTTTAAATATCGCTTCATTGAGTAGGTTCCTTTAAGTATAATCTTATTAAGCGTAGAATAACATACCATCGAATGGTTAAGTTTTCTATCTGAAATAACACGTGATCTTGATCACTTCGTGGCGATAGAAATATTATTTTCAATGTTTCCGAGTTTTGCAAGCGTGTTTTGAATACGCTTGCAAATGAAATTAATTCAAGCGGAGATGAGTTTGATCCTTCGTTATTGAATAACGAAATGATTTCTATTCAGTTAAGAACTGATAATAAAGAGAAGATAGAAAATAGAAGGTGGAAAATAAGAATAATAGACGATAAACGAGATCACGTTATTCGGATTGTAACGATATTTTATCGCGATATAATCTCCTCTGACAAACCGAGGATATGCTTTTACTTTATTGCTAAAATATCACACAACAAATTTGTGATGAAATCATATCATAAGTTAGGTAAGAAATTCATCGAACGAGTGCGGGAAACGCGTCTGCAGTTGTTGGTTCGCCCGAGCAAAAGAGTGCAAAGGGTTAATAATATAGAAAGAGACTTTGGATTCGTAAAGTAAACGATAGAGAAAATCGTGAATATTGAAAAATGGTTTGTATCTACATTATACGGCGATACAGTAATACTTTCCATGCAAGAAATTCTAAACGAAATATCAAAAACGGTCATTTGACCGCGCCGTGTTGCTCTCTCTTTCCGCGTAACTAACTAACCTTCTTCCCCCCTCCAAATTCCGTGTTTATATTACGTGTGCGTGTATATAACGAATCAGGAGCCACGTGCCTGTCGTCCGCCTCGGATTGGTGCTCGGCTTGTTACAACGGAGGCAGTTGTCTCGAGACGCGTTTCGGTATTATGTGTCAGTGCCCGAGGTTTTGGACGGGGCCCCAGTGCAAGGAACCGATCACCTGCCGCGACCTGCCTTGCAAGCAAGCTTCCGCTTGTCACGATTACGTGAGTGAGACAAGATTTGGCTAATCGCTTTGCATGATTTAATCGACTTGTGCGTGTGATATACGTATGCGGCTTGTTGCTTCGTTTGTTGTCGCGTCTCGCTGCAGCCTGGCGGTTATTATTGCACCTGCGAGCCAGGATGGACGGGAGCCGAGTGTTCCATCGACGTGGACGAGTGCTCCAGCGATCCTTGCCGTAACGGCGGTGTCTGCATCGATCAACAAAATAGCTATTATTGTCAATGCCTTCCAGGATACACCGGTAAATTCCATTCGCGACCACTCTTTTCCTCTCGCGTGAATAATTAACAATCGTTTAAGCGGTTTTCAGGTAGGCCTCTTTCTTATTTGTCATTTACGATCGGCAGGTAAAAATTGCCAGATCAACGTGGACGAGTGTTTGTCGCAGCCCTGCCAGAATGGCGGCACTTGCATCGACCGGATCAACGGCTACGTATGTAACTGCACCAAAGACTTCATGGACGAGAATTGCGAACGGGAGTACAACGCGTGCGCAGCGAATCCTTGCCACAACAACGGGAGCTGCACGCTGATGCCGAGGTCCCGAAGGGAGTTCGTCTGCGAGTGTCCCCGCGGATTCGAGGGAAAAACTTGCGACGTTAACGTGGACGATTGCGTGGACGTGATATGCCCCGATGGCCAGGTATGCGTCGACGGCGTAGCCGGTTACGAGTGCAAGTGCCGCGAGGGTTACAGAGATCCAAATTGCACCCTCATCGTCGACCACTGCGCCGCGGTCTCCTGCAACAGCGGCACCTGCGTCGATCTCGGAGAGCAGGGATTCGAGTGCAAGTGCAAGGATGGCTTCCAAGGTACTCGAACCACGATGACACTGAATTTCGAACGCGAATAGAATTCTAGCGGATCGAACTAATGCTTTCGTGGCGTTAGGAATATTGTTTTCAAAGTTTTTGTAAGCGCGGAATGAAATTGCCTCGAGCGGAGACGAGTTCGAGTCTTCGTTGTTAAATAACGAAATTATTTCTATTCCTTGATGGTAGAGAGAAGGAAAATAGAGCATAAGAAAGTGAAAAATAAGAATGGTGAATGTGAAAACACGTTATTGGGATATTAGTTCATTTTAGTATTCGTTAAGATAGAGAGAAGGAAAATAGAAATGTGAAAAATAAGAATAATACAGACAGTGAATATGAGAATACGTTATCGGGGCACTAGTTCATTTCTATTCTATATTTTAAGAAATTGATAGAGAGAAGGAAAATAGAAACAAAATGAAAAATAAGAATAATAGACAAAGAAAGAATGCGTTTTGGTAATTACATTATTATTCAAATACCGCACAAACAATATAAACTTTAATATTCAACAAATTTTCTTTATACGTAAAGATACGTAAAGTATTAAGATATAAAACTTTTATACGTTCATTCGTGAAATCGTTTCAAGTTAGCTAAGAAATTCAGCGCGGGAAAACGTATACGATCGCATTCTTATTTATTTTCTCAGGAAAATTTTGCGACGAGGACGTGAACGAGTGCAACGTGGAGGGCAGCTCGTTGTGCAACAACGGTATTTGCGTGAACACGGACGGCAGCTACAATTGTTCTGCAGGCCAGGATTTTCCGGGGATCACTGCGATATCGACATCGACGAGTGCCTGTGCGGCCCGTGCAAAAATAACGCCACCTGCATCGACGGTATCAACACGTTCGAGTGCCAGTGCCCGCCTGGTTACTCCGGCAAAACTTGCGACACGGACGTGAACGAGTGCGAGAGCAATCCTTGCCTGAACAGCGCCACCTGCGTCGACGAAATAGCCAGCTACACTTGTGTCTGCTCGCCCGGTTTCCGTGGATTCAACTGCGAGATAAACATCGACGATTGCGAGCCGTTGCCGTGTTTGAACCACGGCCAGTGCATCGACGGTATAAACAATTATACCTGCGACTGCAGCAACACCGGTTTCGAGGGTGCCCACTGCGAGAAAAATATCGACGATTGCCGATCCGGGCCGTGCGTGAACGGCGCTCACTGCATAGACGACATCAAGAATTACAAGTGCCAGTGCTACGCCGGTTATACGGGGAAAAATTGCGAGGTCGATATAAACGAGTGCGAGAGCTCGCCTTGTCAGTACAACGGCACTTGTTTGGAGAGATCCAAGATAGAATTGTACAAGAGCGACGCGTTAACCTTACCTTCGATATTTAATCAAGAATTCAGTTACGCGAATGCGAGCGGGTAAGCATTGAGAAGAGGGAAGAAATGTAAATTTGCGGGAAGGAATGTAAATTTCGATATTTCAGGTACGAATGTCTTTGCGTGCAAGGCGTTATGGGGAAAAATTGCGAGGTAAATATCAACGAATGCGATAGCAATCCGTGCCAAGCTGGGACCTGCGTGGATCGTATCGGTGGTTACACCTGCGAATGCGACGAGGGATACGAGGGCGATCATTGCCAGCACGACATCGACGAATGCAAGAGATATTCGCCCTGCGAGCATGGAGTGTGCACCGATGGAAGGGCCGATTATACTTGTACATGCGAGCCGGAATACGGCGGTAAAAATTGTTCGGTGGAGTTGATCGGTTGCCAGGGAAATGCTTGTCAAAACGGTGGTACTTGTTGGCCGTATCTTGTCGACGAAACGATACATAAATTCAATTGCACTTGTCCCAACGGATATCACGGGGAAATTTGCGATTACGTGAGTTTTCCTTTTCTATCTTCGATTATCTATCTTCCGTTTTCTTTCTCTCTTTTTTTTTTTTCTTCTTCCGAAAAAATATTATATTTCGAAATTATCAACGATACCGTTTGAATTCATTTCGCTTGTTTAATTGAAATTACACTTGTTGTATATCTTGCACAAAAAAATCTTGCGATACAGAAGAAGGTGCGTAGATTTAAAAAAAAAAAATCAATATTTTTCCCAACTTTCATTTATATATATATATATTTTCTTTTCTTTTTTTTTTTTTTTTTTTTTTTCTTCTTTTTCTTCGTAGGTAACGACAATGTCTTTGAACGGCAGCTCGTACGTTTTAGTAAACACCACTCGAGACGAAGGATACGATATACAATTTCGTTTTCGAACAACATTGCCAAATGGATTGCTAGCCATTGGGAAAGGCTCGACGTTTTACATCCTCGAACTCGTGAATGGCAAGTTGAATTTGCACTCGAGCCTCTTGAACAAATGGGAAGGAGTGTTTATCGGCAGCGGTTTAAACGACTCTACTTGGCAAAAAGTATTTGTCGCTATCAATGCAACGCATCTAGTGCTCTCGGCGAACGAAGAGCAAACCATCTATCCGATCAGTTTGAACGAAGGTTCCAATTCGAATCACACCTCTTTTCCAATGACTTACGTTGGCGGTACCACCAATTATCTTCGACGATTGACTCATGGCCCGTCTTTCTTCGTCGGTTGCACCGAAGATGTCGTTATCAACGGAGAGTGGGTACGTGTTCGAATCGAATCGAAGCAAACTAAAGTAATAAATTTTTCAATCGATATAACGTTTTCGATCCATCACCATCCAGGTATATTCCGGCACATTGTTGAAAACGGTGTACATGGAGGATATTGAGCCGGGATGTCCACGAGAAGCTCAATGTTCACCGAATCGTTGTAAAAACGGTGGTGACTGTACCGATAGATGGCGCGATTTCTCGTGCAAATGCGAGAGGCCGTACCTCGGACACACGTGTCAGTACAACATGACGGCAGCCACGTTCGGATACGAAAATATCACTAACGGATACGTGACCGTTAAAGTTTCGGATATGGCCAGACGAGCGGTGAGATCGATCGTCGACATCTCAATGTTCATTCGTACGAGACAAGACAGGGGCGATATATTTTATCTGGGTACCGAGAATCCGAATCCGCAGACGGATCTCAAGCCTCAAGAGAAAACGTATATAGCTGCTCAACTGGAAGGAGGCGAGTTACTTGTCAGAATTCAGTTCAACGGTACGGAAGCGTACACGGTTGGCGGTGTGAAATTGAACGATGGAAATAATCACTTGATACAGGTGATTAGGAACGTGACATTGGTACAGGTGAAAATCAACGGTACCGAATATTTTCGAAAAACTATCAGCGCTTCCGGCCAATTGAACGTGACCGTATTGTATTTGGGCGGTTTGCCACAAGCATCCAGATACATACGACAAGTTGACAATCGTCAAATAGAGGTATCACAAGCTCCGCAAGTGAATTTTAAAGGGATCATTCAAGATGTTCAAATATCGAACGGTATCGAAACTATGGTCGTTGAATTCTTTCCTCTGAAGGTAAAAGTGAAAGAGGAGTTTTTTTTTTGTGTTTTTATATTATAAAAATGTCAATTGTGAAGTTATAATAAATTATCTAATGTTTTATCTCATATCTCATATAGGCGAATGATATTCCCACTCCGATACAATTTGGTAACGTGACGTTTGATTACGAGAAAATTCTTAAAGGTGTGATATCCGACAACGTATGCGTGAGTAACCCGTGCAATCACAATGGAACTTGTCATATCACGTGGAACGACTTTTGGTGTCAATGCCCGCGGGGATACACGGGGAAAACTTGTCAAGAAATGGAATTTTGTCAATTGCAAGACTGTCCAGCCGGATCGAAATGTCAAAATTTAGACGACGGTTACGAGTGCATAGCTAACGCTACTTTTAACGGGATCACGACTTCTTTTACCTACGTTTATAATCAAGTGGAAGAGAAAAATGTGACGGATTCAACGATCGATACTATTCAAATTACGTATCGATCGAATACCGGTGGCACGTTGATGCATATCGCGCCTCGTATAGGCGATCAACATTTCACCGTTTCCGTGTACAAAGACAACATTACGGTATCATGGCGGTTAGATTTACAAAATGAAGGGATATTGAGTTTTGGCAAAATGGAACCTGACGGCAATTGGACCTCTATAGTATTACGATTGAACAACAACTCGATGGAATGCGGATATGCAAATTCTAACGACGAATACGGACCGCACGTCAGTCCAAATTTCAGTTTTCCCTTGTGGTACGATTTGCTAGTTACCGGAACCGTCACTCTTGGCGGACTAGGCTCTATTTTATCAAATAAACACAGTTATATTACAATCGGTTCCAATAAACAGAGCTTAGAGAACAAAAGTGGTATCAACGAAAATTCGATAGATTTTACCGAACGTACCACGTTGACTACCGCTTCCCCCCCTTATAACATAATGTCAGGTAACGTGATAATCAAATTCTCTAGATTTATTTATGATATTTATATTATCTTTGCGGATATAATCTTTTATCTTAATTAGAAAACAAATAATCGAAAGTTAAAAATTTTCTTTTCTACAGGAGAAGCTTTCAAAGGATGTTTAGGCGAAGTAAGAATTGGTAGTATGCTTTTACATTATTTTACGTACGAAGAAGTATATCAGAACGCTAATTTCACGCCATTAGAATATTTAGCGTTACAAGAAAATAATTCAACGTATCGCGATAGTATTGGATGCCAACTTTGCTTCGATCCAGATTGTAAAAATAATGGATTTTGTCTGGACAAAGCAAACAGTTACATTTGTGAATGTCCTGCGGGATATACAGAGGACGATTGTTCTTTTAACATAGACGAATGCATCAATAATAAGTGCGAGAACGGAGCAACGTGTATCGATGGAATTGCTAATTACACGTGTATATGTAACAACGGTTGGCAAGGATGGTTGTCAGTATATAAAAGATATTATTACGATAAATATTATATATATATATATATTATAGTTCGTTTTATTTACCAAACAATTTTTTTAATCTTTTATTTTAGATGCGATAGCGACATAAACGAGTGTGTGACTCTTAGTCCTTGTCAACATGACGGAGTGTGTATAAATCTTCCCGGATATTTCCGTTGCGAATGCCCAGATCAATTTACCGGTGAACGATGTGAAATTTTCCGTTTAATTACTTGTGAAAATCAACCTTGCAAAAATGGTGGCAGTTGTACAGATATCATAAATCCACAAACTGGTGATAATTTCACTTGTACTTGTACGACTGGTTACGAAGGTTCAATTTGTGATGTGCCCTATTGCATTGGACAAAAGTGTCAAAATGGCGGCAAATGTGATTTCTTATATCAGGTAAATCTAGTATTTACTTTTTTTCTCTTTTTTTTTTTCGCACATATAACTCGATTTACATTTATTTGATTTTATTTTCCAAATATTTTCCAACGATTACTTGCATATTTTGTTATTGTATTGGCATAGAATTTAAAATGAAAAAAAAAAAAAAATACAAATACTCTTTATTAAAGAAATTATTGTCTCTCTTTTTTTTTATAATTTATAATGTAAAAATTTAATTGCGTAAACATTTGTAAATCGTAATATCTGTTATTTTAAATTATTAGACACCTCGATGCACCTGTTTACCCGGCTATTCTGGATTGTATTGTGAAATTAATATCGATGATTGCGCACCAGATGCGGAAGGAAATGTACCATGTAAAAACGATGGAAAATGCTACGATGGTGTGAACAGTTTCACTTGTGATTGTAATGATACCGGCTACACAGGGCCCGATTGTTTATTCGATATAGATGAATGTGCAATTCCAATGACAGATTGTGGTCAAGGACGATGCAAAAATTTACCAGGAACTTATCAATGTATTTGTGATCCGGGTTACTGTGGATATAATTGTGGAATGATAGATCCTTGCAAACCGGTATCATTTTTTCCCCCCTCAAATTCTTCTTATTATTCGATATATAGTTTCTCATATTTTATGTAACTTATCTTCTGTTATCTCAGGATTATTGTCAAAATGGAGGTACATGTAAATGCGGAGATAATGGTGGTTATAGGTGTGAGTGCACGCCACATTATACCGGACAAAATTGTACAGAGGCATGTGTTTTAATTTTATTCTGAATGAATGAAATTTCGTTTATAATCAATCGTATATAATAATAAATTTTGTTCGTTTTCCATTTCAGACGGAAAACTTTTTGGGTAGTCAAGCACTCGATATAGCTGTAATTGTTGGTCCTATTGTCGGATGCCTGTTTATTATTGCAGCAGGTTCTTTAATTGCATTATTTATGATGGCTAGGAAAAAACGAGCTACTCGAGGAACGTACAGTCCAAGTGCTCAAGAATTCAGCAATCCGCGTGTAGAAATGGATAATGTGATGAAACCACCGCCAGAAGAGAGATTAATTTAAGAATTTTATTTTTTTTTTTTTTTTTTTTTTTTTTTTTTTCATCAAAGGAACACAACATGAATGTTTCGAAAAATCCTAGTCTATCGATACATCGTTGTCACAGTTTTGATCGATATTGAAAGAGATGAATGAATCGGAGGAATCGATCTTTCGACAAAACTGTTTTCGAACGGTCAGTGAAAATATAAGAGGTTTCATCGCGCGTTTTCTAGTCCATGCTATTTTATCAACTATCAAATTTACATAAGGAGTTCAATGTGAGAGCAATTTAAGGCATGATAACTGATCTTAAAATCAATCCGAAAGCGACGCTAAAGATGAAACGTATCAAAACTGCCTATAAAATTGACTATAACATCAAAACCAAAATAAAAATATATATTATTAAAATTATTTAGAAAAATTAATCGTTAAGAAAATTTATTTCTAAAAATTACACTAAAAATGAAGAATGTATTATGAAATTTATATATTAGTCAAACAGTTAATTTGAAGAAATCAATTAGCTATACAAAGTGTACTTAAAACTTCATTAAGTGTCCTTAACTTATGAGCAATACTCGAATGGAACTCCTGAGAAACGAGACCCGTCCATTTTAGTGCCTAATTGATCCTACTTAAAGCTTTTATTTATAAGCAGTAAATTTAAAGCATTGAAAATGTACATTACGTTAAACATCGAGATCTCTAAAGCATAATGATATTCATTATTATTGTTTTATTTCGTTAGATTTCAGGCAATCATGATACAAATATTGTTAAATATTAATATAATATAATGATATTACGACTTATCGTGAAAATACCGGAGCTTTGTAAAAATATTGTAAAGCAGTGTTGTCCATGACTGGCATCTCTTTACACGGCTTTCTTCCCTTCCACGCATTGTCGTTACAGAGAAAAGAGAGTTCAACAAAAACCAAGAAATATCTATACAATATCTCTTTTTTTCTACCTCGCTTTAAAAATAAAAGTAAAAATAAAAGGACAAAGCGCGGAAGTAGAAGTAAATCGTTTTATTAGCAAATAAAACTTAACTATATTATCGTAAAGTAATAGTTATCACGCTACATGTTAGTTATTATGCATTTGTAAAGTAAAGACATGCTGCTTCATTTTGTACATAGGTTAGATTATACGTTGAAAAAATTAATAATAATTTTATTCATTAGCATTTTATATTATATAATATAGTATTTAATAATGAATATTATTTTGTATGTACTTACTTGATATCACGACCAAAGTAATAGGGAAGAATTTTTTCTTGTCTATTAAAATATAAATGATATAAATATCATAAAATCATAAAATATATATATATGTTGTATCAATGTTTTTAATAGTCAAGAATAATTGTTCTTTAAAAACGAGAGTTAATACATTATTTGTTGGTACTATCTTTTTAAATATATTAATAAAACTTTCTTTTCGTCTTATAGAATCAAAATTAGTATGAATATCTATTTTACATATTATTACATCGCAAAAATAAAATGATTAATCACAAAATGTACAAAGTAATTAACATATTCGAGAAACATTTTTCAACGATCGATTCTAAAAGCTAAAAAACATAAAAATGAAATAATATTGAAATGAACACAAAAATAATATACAAGAATATCAATTAAGATTTATTTATTAAATTGTAAATAATTTAAATTTATGCTATGATAAAATAAAACAGAAACAGCTTGAATCGGCAATGTGACGAAGATAAAAATGTTTCATCTAATGGAAATTTAAATTGCTAAATAATGTAATAAATAAATTTGAATATTTTTATAAATTATTATAGATTATTTTAATAATTTTACATTTTCAGCCTATAGAATCGATAAAAAAGATATTTCACGAATATATTAACATCTTGTATATCGTGATATAATGATAGAATATTGAACATGTTTACATTACAAGCACGTATAAATGAAAATCAAATATATGAATGATATGTCCACTATGGCAATCTAAACTAATCTAATTATTTAATTTAATATCAATCAAAACCATAATTATGTGGATAGCCGATTCTTGGATTGAAAAGGTAAAAATGCTCATATTATTGTAAGTTACAAAGAATAATTTTCTTTCAACGTGTATTATAAAATGAATATCATTAATGTTTTCTGCAAGACTGAAAATTTGGGTACTAAGAAATACGTGTGCATGCGCTTTTCATGTGAATACTTATTTTGTGTCAATATGCAATATTGTGCATATAATTATTATAATTTGAATTAAATGTACAAAAATAATAAAAAAATTAAATATTTCAATTACAGCATTTATCTTTTTTTTTTCATGAAATAAATTTAAAAATATAAAAAATATTTATAATATATATAATTATAATTATAATTTTTATATATACAATTTTTTATTATAATTAAATTAAATTTATATAATCCATATAATACATATATAAAAAAATAACATCTAAAAATGTAATAAATTGCTTATAACTATTTATAAAAAGTATTGCACAAAATATTATTACAAACAATGATAGACAAAATAATAACAAATTCACTATGCAATATTTCCAAAATTACCGAAATATAAAGTATTGTAAATAAAACTGATCCAATTCAAAATGAATTGAATGTATAAAATTTAGTCGTAATAATATTATTGTACTCATATATAAAATAATTTACATATGTTTTTTTATTTCATATTTAATATTTATATTTTCATTATTTTTAAAAACAATTGAATTTACATAAAATTCAATCTAAAAAAAGATTATAATAAAATTTATTTAACATTGTTTTCTCAAGATTTTAAATCTATTAAAATATCTTATATAATTATATATAAAATATTATATAAAATTGTCTTTTACATAAATGAATGTTCATCGATATTATAAAATTTGTCAATTTATAAATGTATAAATTATTTGAACAAAATTCTATTAAAGTTAAATATCTTATTTACTTTAATTTTGTTTATTAGTTTTATGTTCTAATTATCTCAAACTTTTTTTTCCATTTATTTTATTTAATTTATCACGTGAGATTTTATCAAAAAACAAAAGTCCAGCAGCACGTTCTATACTTTCTGGTGGCACCTGTTATAATAGACATCCATTATTATTAATTATTTCAAAATATACATATGATAAAAAATATTTATAAATTCTTATAAATTGTTATACAAATATTATTGATGTTAATTTACCTGAAAATTTGTTAAAGGCGTATTATCATCTATAGGAGTATTTGGCATTACAAATGCTTCCATTTCTAATTTTGAATCGTGTGTTTCACCAACAACTATTTTATAGAAATGAGTAGGTACTGCTACATGATTTGTACCAATAACTTCATATCGAACATATTTTTTTCCATTAGCCTCTATTCTGTAATAATAATATATTTAGAATATTTAATGAATAAATGATATCAAATAATAAGCTTTATTAAACTTACTTTGGCAAATATAAAGGACCTGTGCATACATATACATCCTTATAAATTTTAGTTAAATGTCTAACATACTTTTCTAATCTATTCCAAGAATCCCTATTAAAACCTACACCTACTTGCGGTGAAATATTTGAGAGAAAAAATGTTTCATCTATGTGTTTTTGAGCACATTTATGATTTCCAGCTGCTGCTAAATGTCCACGATCATATCCACTGCCTTTATAATCATTGTTTTCTGCTCTGATTTCGATAAAATTATTAAAATATTAGTATAAAAATATTATATAATTATGAATTATAAATATTTACCTAAAAAAAGGATGTATACTTGGATCTGATTTGAATTCACACTTACTACGTGATATTTCCTGATTAGCTTGTAATTTTTCTTTATTTAAATGTTCAAAAACCCAATGTGCTACTCTATTTCTTCTATCATAAGAAAGGACAAAATCTTCATAAGACCTAACATGATCTAATCCAGGAAAACCGTATTTCATAATCTATAAAAAATTAAATTAATTAAAAAATACATAATTTAAATTATATACATTGCATATTTTTTTTTATCTTAGATCTATATCACAAATAAATTAAAAAAAAAATATTAATACGGTCTCAAACAATAACGTAGAATAAATATAAGTAAGTAAGAATAAATATAAATTTTTGATATTTATCAATATTTATTGAGGTTAAATATTTTATAAATAACTTACTTCAGATATTCTAGTAGCTGTTGATGATAATTTTGAACCCATTTCTGTATTAAATTCTGTAGGAACTGCTGCCGAAACAGTTCCAAATAAAGGCAAACCAGGCATTTCTTTGATGTTTACATTCGAAAAAATATTTTCACTGTCTCTTATTTCTGTATTCAAATGTCGTTTTTGTTCCGAATACTTTCCCAAATACCAACCACTAAAACCTATAGTTGTTACAGTACTCAATTTTGTAATAATTCGCATTATTACTCTCATATTTTTAAATATATAATTAAAGATTTCTCAATAAATTTTTAGCACTTATATATATCAGACAAAATTTCGTAACTTAATACATATAATATATTATCTATGCACATGCGCAAATATAAATATATAAAATAAATGTGGACAATCACGAAAAATAATTTCATTTCTTTCTTATAAAAATACATCTTTAATATAAAGATACATCTTTAAAATATGCTTTTTTTTTACAGTATACATCCTTTTAGAAAAAAGGAAAATAACAATAAAAAATATAATTAAATTATAAATAAAAATATCATAAAAACAATTTTTTATAAAAATCAAAATTTTATATTTGCATTAAATATTAAAATAATTATCATACTTATTTATTATTCATTTTTGCATGTGTTTCTACTTTTTATATTTAATAACACACACACACACACATTTACATGTATTTGTACATTATATATGTTTATCTGCAAGATAAATTTATAAATATATAATAACATAAATTAAAATTTATATTAATCAGGGCAAAACTAATGATTAAAATTCAAATAAAATAAAAATAAATCTTTTTATTCGCTACAATCTTCATCTGAATCTTTGGCTAAAACTATATCATATCCAGGTAATGTTCTTGGATCAAATGTTGTTTGAAAACATTTTTGAAGAATCAAACGTGCCTTTTTGGTTGGTGGAGGAGGCGAATTTGGTATTTCATTTTCTACTGCAATAATATTATCATGATGTGGATTGTCTTGCTTATCAATTTCATCATTTCTAGATTTTCTTTTTGTTATTGTAAACACAGAGTTTACTAACTTTTTTTCACTTATAGATGTTTTATTAAATTTTGTAATTATGTCACAACTATATGAAGAATTCTTTTGAAATTTTTCTTGAATATTTTGTTCTATTGGCAAAGTATTTACTTTATTTATATTCTGATTATCTTTTGCTGTTGTTTCTGGTAAATTAAGTTGCACTTTAGAATTATTTTGTTCTTTTTTTTCCTCCATAAAACATGAATGTGGTTTTCTGAGAGTAACATTTTCTAACATGTTATCAGATTTAATTGATTTATTTTTAATTCTATTAGATTTATTATTGTTTTTCTTAGAAACTCGTTTGTTTATTGTTCTTTTTTTCATAAACTTTTCTTCTTGTTTATTGATTGTTGTTTCCGTTTGACTATCTGCATCAGAATTTAATGTGGACAATACTAAATTTACTTCAAATGATTGATTTTTTAATACAAATATAACGGGTCTAAAAAATATTAATGAATACTTTATTAATTTTTACCTTTTACATTATATATTATTAGTTTTTACCTTCCTGCTCCTTCAAAATATATAGTAATTGGTATATTTGCAATTTCTGCAAAAGTTAAGATAGATTTAAATTCTTTCATACAAAAGGTAATTGACGTTTCACTACCAATATCATATTGATCAAATTCTCCCTTTCCAAGTGCAACTTGTGTACGTGTTGTATTTGATAAACCTAAAATTTTTATTTTATTCCATAATAAAAATAAATTATTTCTAATATTATATTTAAATTTACCCGAGCTATCATCAATATAATTTCTTAATAAAAGCTTTTGTGTTGAAACTTCAAGTGTTATTTCAATTAAATGTTGATGAAAATTTTGTACTGCATCACCTAATACTCGTGGCTGAGATGAAAGTTTAATTGAAGCACAGTCTTTATTATATATAGTCTAAAAAATATAGTATAATATAAATAGAATAAATTAAAATAAGATAATAAGAAATTTTATTAAAGATTTATGATACATACTTGTAATATTTCACAATCTAATATGGGCAATAAATGAGTTTTAGTAATACTATTTTTATATTTTAAAATAAACAAAATTTCAGATGCATTTGGTTCTAATCTAATATGACACGTTTCTACTTGTTTGTCAATCACATTTGAAGCCTTAAATACAGTCATCGCACTCTGTAACACAAAAAAATATTTTTTATGATGTAAAATGTAAAATTTATAATATTATATAAGAATATAATATCTTATTACCCTCATTGAAATTTTACATTTTAATGCATCATTTTCTTGTAAATCGCCATAAATATAATATGAAAAATAACATTGAAAAAATGTAAAATCTGCATATGCAGAATTTGCCATATTAACAGTACGGAATGATAAAACATTTTCTTGTGGTTCTATATACATTTCTTCTCCAATTTTTGATAATGCATGTATAGCTTTTGCTAAAACTAATGTATATTTATTTTTGACTATTGATATATGTATTTTATTTTTAATATTGTTTAAATAAAAAAAAATAAAACATAACCTAAATGAAATAACATACTTTTTACATTTGCTCCTGGTATAACACACTTCATGTTGAATTTTTTTTCATTAAACTATTCCTTATAAATTAAACATCAAATAAGTTTAAATTTAATGATTATTTAAAAGAAATAACAAAAAAAATTCATAATATTATATGTAATTTAAGATGCAATACATTAAACAATTTCATTTGCTCAACTAATCATAATCAAAATTTGTTTATTTATATAAAATTTAAATAATTATTGTAAATAAATAAATAATAAAAATAAATTCACATACATTTCACAAAATTTATATAAATTGTAACGAAATATATGTTAAGAATAAGAATATATAGTTCATATTTTAGCGCATTGTAAGAATAATCGACGATTAACATAATCTCGAATCTCGAAAATCGAAAGTTTATCTGTCAAATATACTTTCAATTCCAATAGTTTGTTTGAGTAGTTTATGAATCTTATTGTTAACAAATGCGATAAAGTAAATATTAACGTTAAGAAAAATAAGAATTTCATAAATATATATTATTATATCCGTCATGGTAAGTAAATAAAATAGAATATTACTGATTGAAATTAACTGTTTAATTGTAAGTATAAAATTGTTGAATTTTTAATCTAACCTTAAGATAAAATAATTTTTTAATTAAATATTTTTTAGAATTATATTAGTTTTTATTGATAAATTCAAAATATATGTCAACATTCAATTATAATATTTAATATGTAAATTTTTTATTATATTTATTAAATATTTAATATTTATAGCTTGTTTTAGTACTGGGAGATTTACACATTCCACACAGATGTAGTAGTCTTCCAAGTAAATTTAAGAAATTATTGGTACCTGGTAGAATACAACATATTCTATGTACAGGTAATCTTTGTACGAAAGAATCATATGATTATTTAAAAACATTAGCCAGTGATGTACATGTCGTTAGAGGAGATTTTGATGAGGTATATATCTTATTTAATGTTATTAAATATTTTGATAATTTTTTAATATTAAATTTTAACATTAATTTTTTATTTATAGAATTTAAATTATCCAGAACAAAAAGTTGTCACTGTTGGTCAGTTTAGAATAGGTTTGTCACATGGACATCAAGTAGTACCTTGGGGTGATCCAGAATCATTAGCTTTAATTCAAAGACAATTAGATGTTGATATTTTGATATCAGGTCATACACATAAATTTGAAGCATATGAACATGAAAACAAATTTTATATTAATCCTGGTTCAGCAACAGGAGCATATAATCCTCTTGACACGTAAGATTTTATGTTAATGGCATAAAGAAAATTTTAAATATTATTCATATAAAATATTTGATATACATATTATATTTATATGTTATATTTATATTATATATTTATATTCTATATTTATATTATATTTATAGATCAGTTATCCCTTCTTTTGTCCTTATGGATATTCAAAGTTCGACAGTTGTGACTTATGTCTATCAACTTGTTGGTGATGAAGTAAAAGTTGAAAGAATAGAATACAAGAAAAATTAAAATATATACAAAGTCTTAAAATATAAGATACATATAATGTTGAGATTTCTCTATTTATAATAATGAAATTCAATATTATATATAAAATTTATACATATGAAATATTAACTTTATATACATTAACATTTAAGCATTTATGAAAAATACATGTAATTGTATAATACACTTAATGTAAATAACATATTATATATAAATTACATCACATTTTATTAACAATTAATGTTGATTATAATGATAATTACTTTTTTTTATAACATTTGTTTTACAAAAAAAAAAATTTGCATACTAATCAATTAAATCGTTCCATGCCTTTCGTCACGTATATCTACGTATTTATGTACATTTATACGCATACATGTAAATTTGTTGTTGTTAAATCTATTTTGGTGATTCATCTTTTTGTATATATATTTATATTTGATTTTTATATTCTCTTTTTGTTTTACAATTTTATTTGTTTTTAAATCTAATCAAACGTAATCAATTTCTTCACATTATGATACACTGATAATTTTAAACATGGGCGTAAATAAGGAAAAATAAGAAAAAGCATGTTTTTAAATTTTTTATTACTATAAATAAATCTGAATAGTCTTATTAATATATATTATAATATTTATTAATAAAATACTCTTTATTAAAAGCTATCCTTAATTTTAAAATTAAATATTAATCTTGATACATATGTATGTTTATTTTTATTTATTTACATTAATTTCTATTTATTTATTAAAGCATAAGATACAAATTTTATATAAATAATATATTTTATTGTAAAATATATTTGTATATATTTCTAATTATAAATTTATTTTTATTTAATTGTTCAAAAATTAATTTTATTTGAATTCGATTTTTTATTGGAATAAACTTAAAAATATTACAGATTATAAAAAAATATAAATCATGTCTTAACAATATGAATTAATTTTAATATTAACATATTATTAATGTTTAAATTTAAATACAACATTTTTTGATATTTATAAAATTTTTTTCTTAAATTTTATCGATGTCACGCTTATGACTTTATCTATGTAAAGAAGGGGACGTGCATTGACGCTCTCGTAATCAAGGAATAGAAAGAAAAAGGACAGAGGAACACTATTGCGCATGCGCAAAGAACAAAGAGGAGAATTTGAGACCTACCGACCCATCAAAAAGGGCCCACTATTCTTTTTCACTTTCGTCACAACTGACTTTCAAACGGCTTTGAGTTGATGTTGTTATTTTTGTTGCATAAAAATAATTTATAGTTTGAGTTAAAATGACAATATTATTACAATCTGGTTTAAGATTTATAATTTCTAATAAGTATTTTGAGAAAATAGCTCTTTTATATTGTAAAATACCACAAAAACAAAATACTATTCAATCATATTATAAACAGGTAATTTATTTTTTATATTATATAAAATAAAATCTAATATATAATAAGTCTTTAATTAATTTTATTATGATTAAAAAAATATTTGTATTAATAATAAATTTAAATTATTAAAATAAAAAATGTTATTAAAGATTGTATTTATTTTGAATTACGAATTATGAATACGGAAAGTATTTCTATATAGAAATAACTGAATCTCTCTTAATCTATATAAATTCTAGGCAGTTGTTTGCTTCATTTTCTTTTTCTTATTTTTTGAGATTTTTAATTTGAGATTTTTTATAAAAAGCAAAGTTTAAAATTTATTATCTTTTCTTATATCTCTTTAAATACAAAATATAAATGTATATCTTTTATATATACATAAAAAAATATAGAGAAAAATTATAATAAAACAAAAAAAGAATATAAGAAACATATTATTTTTATTTATTATTATATTATTTTATTTTAATTATTAATGCGTATTTCTATTATAATAAATTATTAGTAATTGATTCAATCTATATCCGTAAAAAATATCGATTTTCGAAAAAATTTATATTTTTATTAATATTATTCATTTACAGAATTAAATATTTTTTTAATTCATTATTATAATTTTATATAAATGTTTCGAAAAACCAATAAATAAATTTATAAATCTATTATTGATTTCACATTGCATTGAATATATTGAATTACATATAATATATTTCAATTATATTTACGATTCTAATATGTACCGCAATGTAATATTATGATATAATTTAATTAATTTCGATTAAAATTTTCGTAAAAATAATAAATATATTTTTTCATTATATTTATTTTGTTTTATTTTTAGTATTATAAATATGTTCCGGAAATGTATAATACAAAAAATGTACACCAAATAAGTACTTCAGTCTCTTTAAATGAACAAATAATTGATAACGATTCAGACGATGAACAAGAAAGGGTAAAACATTTTTTGGAATTTTATTACTTAATATATTTTAATATTTATTTATTTTTTGAAATTTAATTATCATGTAAATATAATTAATTTAAAAAATTTCGAAATAAATTTATATCCAATTATTTTTTTATTTAATCTATTTTTTCTTTTCTTTGATCATTAAACCAATAATTATTTTTTTTAATTTCTATTTATTAGGGACAATCACTTTTTTTGGAGAAGAAAAATGCGAACATTACATAGTCATTTGGATGTTAATAAAGATGGTATTATTAGTTATGATGATTTTATGTTGTTTAGAAAAAGATTTTGTGACTTAGGACACTTGACTTTAGAAGCTAAAGTTGAATTCAAAAAAGTATTAAATGTAAGTCTTATATATATTTTTTATGCATAAAAATAGAATAATCAATTCTTAAAATATATATGAAATGATAAAATATATTTTATCATTTTTTTATATTTATTATTATATTATATATTTTATATAGGAAATGTGGGAAGAACAATGGGGAGAAATTAGTCCATATAATCTTATTTGTGTTGAAAAATATCTGGAAAAAATGCAACATGTGCTTAATGATTCATCATTAAAAAAAAAATGTCATCATTTTTTGCCATTTTTATTCAAAGTATGTTTTCAAAAATATATTTTTATATAAAACAATAATATTAAAAAATATTTTAAATATATTATCTAAAAAAAATTGCAGGCAGTAGATAAAGACCATAATGGTGAAATTTCTATACAAGAATATAAATTATTTTTCCAATGTTTAGGACTTACACATGATGTATGTAAGATTATATATTTTTGTATAATATTTTTTATAATAATTAATATGAAAAAAAAAAATAATAAAATTAAAATATTTATTATAGGATGCAGTTATCTCTTTCAGTCATATTGATATTAATGATGATGGTAAAATTAGCTCCAAAGAATTTATAATATTGGGTCGTGAATTTTTCTTAACAGAAGATCCTACAAAACCCAGTAAATATTTCTGGGGTCCATTGATAGATTAAATTTCTTATTGCAAGCCTATAATTTGTGATAAACACTATATATTAATTATTTTTATAAAATTTTTATAAGTGAAAATTTCTTAATCTCATATCTAAAATTGTTAAATTAAACATAGATTTATATAAAATAGATTAAAATATAAATTATCCCATGGTATAATGGTTATAAATTAAAAGTATAAATTTAAACAAAAAATTTATATACATATATTAAATATATATTAAATAAGAAAATAATATATATTAAATAAAGATTCTTATAAGTAAATAAAATAAAAAATTCTTATAACTAATTCTTAAAATAATATAATGATTGAAGAACTTATATAAAATTGTTTGTTAAAAAGTACAACAGTTTAATTACAAATATAAATACTCACTTTTACAAATACATGTAATTGTATGAAAATAAATAAATCACTAATTATTTAATTATTTTGACTTTCTAAGAGAAAAACCTTCACCAGTGAATGCTTTAAATTCATCTTGATCTTTTGCCTATAAAAATATATATTATATAATAAAAATTATTAAAAAATTTTTAAAAATTTGCCAACATACCTCTTTATTATTTACAGGCTTAATAATACGCAAGAATGTAAGTGTTCCTATTTTGTAATCATAATCTGGTATTCCTCTAACATAAGCTGGTTTATTTGTAGTTACTTCTGGTTTTGCAAAATCTCTACGTTTTTTGCCATCCAATCTATTACCCTCTCCTTTGAATGGTACAAAACCAGATGGGGCTGGCATTAAATCTGCAGGATCTACTACATTTTCATCCTTTTTAGTTTCTTTTTCTACATATCCCAGTGGAGGAGCAAATTCAACATTCATATCACATTCTATGATAGTAACTGCTGGGCCAGGTCTTGTTTCCAAAACACACATTTCATATATTCTTTGATTATATTTTATGGCAATAATATCACCTGTTGTGAGACAAGCAAAATTTCTTAATCCATTTTCTAAAACAGCTTTAGGATTTGTAATATCTAGAAAATCTTCAGATTGAGGTTGAAAACGTGAAAATGTTGCAACAGGTAAATTTACACTTTCAACATTTATTAGATCTCCTTCTTGTAATAAAAGATTATACATCATCTGTAATCACATTGTTATAAAAGCATATTGAATTATATTATAAATATAATGTTTACAATCAATAATAAAATACTTAAAATTGAAACCTACCAACAAGGTAAGTAAACTCTTCCTTCATCTGCAACAAATTCTAAAACACCACAATGAGTAATTCTATTGGTTTTTTCATTACTTAATTTAAATAGCATGGGAAATCTAATGTTTAATCTTGTAAGGTGTTCTAAAGCTGAAGGTGGCATGATTACTAAAAACAATAATTTATAATCTTTTACTTATTATTTGTGGATAAATTATAATAAATTTTATGGGTATATGTACTTTTTCCTCCACGTTCTACATCTCGTCGATATGTACCCGGTAACATTGATACAGAAAAACATCTATAGTGGTTATTGAAAGGTCTTACAATCTCCGGAAACATGTTAAATCCAAACTGAAAATGAAAAGTCATTTTAATCAACACAACTTAACCTTGCTTTATTAAAAGATTTATTGAATAGAAAACATTTGATCATTATTTTTCATTTTATTATGCAGTTTTTTTTACCATATTTATGTATTTGTTATAATACTCTTCCGAAGTTCTATGAATGATAGAATTTTTTTAAAAATTTGTTAATTTTTAGTATAACTTATAACTATGACATATGCTATACACAAAACAGACGATTTATTGTATACATATATATATATCAGATGATTCGAAATGCACCTAGCGGATTTTTTTGTACCTTTGTTAAGTTTAAATTATTTTGATTAATACAATAAACAAATATAATTAAATCTAACAAGAATTAACATGATAATTAAATTATTATAAAGTAATTTTTAAAAGGAGTTTTTATTGTAAAATAAAAGTAATGTAAAAATTTTTATTATAAAATTTAATATATTTTATAAAAAATTTTATTTTTATAATTAATAGAATAATATTTATATTAATTTAAATTAATATATTAAAAATTGTTAAATTTATGAACATAAAATAACACATTAAATTTATATTAAAGAATAAATTAATATTATAAATTCTTCTATTCTATTAAATATATATATAATAACAGAATAAGTTATATTATTAAGTTATGAGAATTATAAAGGATCATCTCAATAAATAATCATATGTATTGATAAAGAAGTAACATAAAATTTATATTATATTAATGCATCATTACAATGGTACTGCCTGCAGTGTTTTTTTTATAAAAATAATGTGCAAAATTAAATGCATTTGATATAAAGTACATATTTATATATATTATTTTATTTATATATATATAATTATTATTATTATAATTAATTATTAATATATATATATATATAATATATATATTTATTATAATAATATATATACTTATTATAATATTACATAATATTATAATAAACATATATAATTATTTATATATATTATATAATAATATAATAATATAATATAATAATATAATTAATATAATTTTTTATATTAGAAAAAATATATATTTAGGATTAAAGGAATTTGATGAAACGTAGAAATATTTAATTATTTTGTAACGTCATGCATAGCTTGTGCAATATAGTTTACATTTTTTGTTGTTATTCCTGCCACAGATATTCTACCATCCTTTGTCAAATAAATGCTATAATCCTTTATAAGTTTTTCTGCCTATAAAATAAATAATACAAATAAATAAAAATAAATTAGTAACAATAAAAATAAACAATATTAAATACAATACCTCTGGAGTTGTAAGACCAGTAAAACAAAACATTCCAATTTGATTTGTAATATGTGACCAATCACGGGAACTACCACATTTTTTAAGACTATTAGTCAATGTTTGACGCATAGAAATAATACGATTAGCCATTGTTTTTATATCAATAAGCCATTGTTTTCTTAATTCAGAATCTTGTAAAATTTCACTAACAATTCTAGAACCATTAATTGGTGGATTGGAATATGCTGGTCTAATTATAATTTTCAATTGTGAAAGAACACGTGCTGCCTCATCTTTGTTGGATGTAATTACAGATAATGCTCCTACACGTTCACCTATAAAAAATTTATAATTCAAAAATCTTTCAAAAAAGATTATAATAAAATTATATATTTAATATGTTTACCATATAAACCCATATTTTTTGCATATGATTGGGCTAACATAATATCAATTCCATTTTTCACAAAGTATCTAACAGCAAAAGCATCTTTCTCTAGGTTACCTAGAATTTGTCAAAATATTTTAAAGTGTAAATTTTTTAAATATTTGTATTATTAAAAATTAAATTAATTTTTTTTACATATTGTTCTACCTGAAGCAAATCCTTGATATGCCATGTCAAAAAAGGGAAAGAGATTTCTCTTCTTTATTAATTCAGCCAATTCTTTCCATTGTTCTGGATTAGGATCAACACCAGTGGGATTATGAGCACAAGCATGAAAAAGAACAATAGATTTTTCTGGTATTTTCTGTAAAATACAATATTATAAATAGAATTTGTAAATATATTATATTATTTATCATTATAATATTTATATATTACTAACACATAAATCTTCTATAACACCATTGTAATCTAATCCGCATGTTTTTGGATCATAATAACGATAAAATTTCATTGGCAGCCTAGCAAGTTTAAATATTTGACCATGATTTCCCCAAGTAGGTTTTGGTACATATATTTCTTTATTACCAGTAAAGAATTGCGATAAAAAAAGTGATCCAATATAAAGTGAACCTGTACCAGAAACTCCTTGAACAGTAGCATTCTACAAAATATAAATTATAAATTACAAATTAATTTTATATTAAAAATTATAAAAATATATAATATATACATATTAAAAAAAATTAATATGTGTTAATATATAATATATATGAATTATATGAATAATATATATGATTTTTTATATATCTAAGTAGTATTCATTATTTTAAAAATATTAAAATTTATTTAAAATAATATAATATATTAAATTAATATATTATAATATATATTAATATATAATAATATTCAAGTAGAAAATTAATAAATACAGATATATGTATAAGTAACTTTTGTTTAAATTTTTTATTTATATTTATATATATATACTTTATATTTATCTAAAAAAATTTAATTCAATTTATTTATATCTCATATCTCTAAAAAATATATTTTATATATAATACATACAAAATTATTACTAATAGCATCACTGTTATCACCAAGTGCCAATTTAATACTTTGTGTACAAAAATCTGAACTTCCTGCAATTGGTGCATATTCTTTATCCATATTTTTAGTTTTAATTTTTTCTTCTGCCTATTAAACATTTAAATTTATAAAATTAATGAAGAAAATTATGTACTTTTTAAACATAAACTATTTTTAATATATATACCTTTCGTACACTTGGTAAAACAAATGGTTTACCATTATCATCTCGATAAGCACCAACTCCTAAATTAACTTTTTTTGGATTTTGATCTTTTTTATATGCTTCTGTAAGACCTAAAATTGCATCTGGTGGGCCCATTTTTACATGAGGCCACCATGTGCTATCATATATAAAATAATTTAATATTGATCAAAATTTCATATAAAATAATTAATCATTGATATTAATAAAAAATTGATATTAATAAAATATCACTTTTTTTTATTAAAATTCAATGTCAATTTCAAAAAATATATAAATTTATAATTATTAATTTTTTAGAATCAAAATCATATTCAAATTTTTATTTTTATTGATTCATCAAAATGAATTTTTTTCAAAAGCTGTTCATAATTTGATTATGATTTTATATTTTTTTAGTCTATTCATTCAGTTTCATGTATTATATTATTTAAAATTTTAAAAAATAAAAAAAACAAATTTAATGTCGCATATAAATTCATAATATATTAATAATTTTAATTCATTATATTCTATAATTCAAAGATATATTCAAACTTATTCAAAAAAAAAATAAGGTTACTCAATTGTGAGATCATACCTCTTTGATCTAAAGCCATATAAAGCAACTTTGTTCTTGTTAAATAAATTATAAGTGAATGCAAATTTAATCTTATTTTGAGCCATTTTGTTAATAATATAAAATATCAATCCATTCACTTATTGCTTTTAATTTAACAAATTGAACGTATTAATTACAAAGGAACACACTTGTTCTATAGGGTGTTTAATAAATTTGAAATGACAAAATTTTGTATATGAAAATAAAAAGAAAATATTATACAAAAATAAATTATAAATGCTTTATTAAAAAATTAAAATGATAAAAATGAAATGATAAATAATATATATTTTTATATCGATATAATTTTATAATAAATTGTTTTCTTAATAATTTAATTAATACAACTAAATTTGTTGAATTTAAACTTTCATTTATTGAATAAATATAATAATTCGTTTACGTATATATATATCTTTTTGAATTTCATTTTTATTAATTTTTACAATAATAAGATTATTATTATTATTATTATTATTACTATTATTATATGAATTAGGGATTTAACAATTATTTAAAAATTTGACTTGCATAAGTTGGTACCCATGGAATACTGAAGCATTTTGCTCATAGAATGCGTAAAAAATTCAAAATAAATAATTAATAAGATATGAAATTGATTATTTATATTAAACGAATCGAATATTCATTTCTTCTTCACGAAATCTTTCGTTTTAGGATTTTTCTAGATTTTTATTAGTCAGATTTTGTTTCATTGATCGATGATTTTTTTCTGATAGCATTATGTATTTTATTATAATAAAAAAATATATTTCTATTTTGTTTATATAAATCATATAAATAATTTTAAATTTTAATTTTTTAAATAATAATTTTTTAGAACTTAAAAGTAATATAAAATATTATTAGATATTTACAGCTAAATTTTATAATAATAATAATAATAATAATAATAAAGAATATAAACAAAAATTTTTAACTTTGAAGAATGAAAAACAAATATAAAAATATTTCAAAATGTGTAGTAAATATGTGTTATCCTGTTTCTTCATAATATATTTTCGCGCTTATATATTTGAAAAGCAACTTCATATTATTGACGATGATATTCTATGAACTTTTCAAATAATGCAACGTCAATGTGTATATATATATATATATAATCAATGTATATTTTTATCTTTCAATCTCTATGTAAAAAGAATAAAATTGATATTTATTTAAATAACTTATCAGCTAAAGTAAACAAACGTAAGCATATAATCGTTATGTTTCTGTGATATAATTAAGAAGAAAAATAATCAATTGTGTTATTAATGTATTATTTTCTTGATAAAATTATTAATATACATTCATACCAAATTGACTTATTTTAGATAATGATAATTTGAATTTGTAAATAATAATTATATAAATTCATAATACATGAGAAGTGTAAGGTATGTGTAAAGTGTAAAGTTTTATTTTAATTTTTTTGCTATTAATTCACAGAAAATATATATATTATATTTTTAGGAAAAAAAAATATATTTGTAATTTATATTTTAATAATTTAATTATATGGAAAAAATTATTTATGAATAAAATTATTTGATGAGAAATGCAAATGCAAATATCTTTAGGATTAATTCAAGATGAAAAAACAAATTCATCTTGGTCAAGGTAATTATTTTCTATTAAAATATTATATTACAAAAATAATTTGTAAGAATTTTTTTATCTTTTTTATCAGATTTTTTTTAAGATAATGATATCTAATGATAATATATAAAATTATGAAGTAATTTTTTTTTAGGAAGGAAAGACGAAAATGGTTTTTATCATTATTATGTGGTACTTGTCTTATATATGCTACAAGAACATCTGTTCCTTTATTAATGCCAATAATAAGTAGAGAAAAACAATGGTCCAAACCAGACTCTGGAATAATATTATCTAGTTTTTTTTGGGGTTACACATTAACACAAGTTGCTAGTGGTTATATTAGTGATAAAATTGGAGGACAGAAAGTTCTATTAATTTCTGCTTTTGGATGGTCTATGACAACATTTTTTATGCCAGAAGTTATAGAACTTTTTTCAAAAAATGATAATTCTGTATTATTAGTAGCAACAATAAGAACGATAAATGGTGCATTCCAAGGTATTCTAAATTAGTAAATTGAATAACAGAAATATAAAAATTAATTTGTTCTTTATATGTCATATGTTACAGGAATGCATTTTCCTAGTATGATTAGTTTAATAAGTCAACGATTACATGAAACAGAAAGAGCTTCATTTTTTAGTTTATTAACATCAGGATCTGCTCTTGGCACATTACTTACTGGATCTCTAGGTTCTTATTTATTAGAAAATTATAATTGGATAACAGTTTTTCAAACATTAGGTAAATAAATATTATAATTATAATTTAATTATATTAACTATACATTATAATTTATATTAATATTAACATTTTCTTTAATTGATTCATTCATTTTTGATATAATGAAATAACATAATATAATATATATGTTATATAATTATATTATATATTAATATATTTTATATTAAGTATTAATTTGATTAAATATAAATAAATATACAAAATGTATTTTATCAATATTTCTCACATCTTTATATATATGTTACAGGGGAATATTAATTAAATAAAAAAATATATTAAATTATATATAAATAAATTTGTTATACTTACTATGCAAAAACATATTATTTCTAATTGTAATTTTAAAAAATTAAATTATAGAATAATATATACATTTATTGATAAATATAAATCATGTAATAAATTAAATTAAATATATTTCTATTAAAAAATTTATTGTCTTAGGAGGTTTAAGCTTGGCATGGACATTATTATTAAGTTATCATACTCTACCATTTAAGGAAAAAGCAGCAACTAAATCACCTACTACCTACACTTTGCCTTGGTTGAAGCTTTTAAAAAAGCCTCCATTCTGGTAATCATTGTGCATGGGATCAATTTGAATTCAATTATCATAAGTCACACAATTTCTGACACAAATCTTAATATAAAAAGTATATATAAAGTTATATGGATACTTATATAAATATTATAATTACAAATTTATAAATATATAAGTTTTAAATATTAATTTCATTATTTTTAGGTCATGTGTAATAGGTCATGCTTGCCAAAATAATTGTTTTTTTGTATTATTATCTTGGATGCCAATGTATTTTCATGATACATTTCCAGAAGTAAAGGTAGTTAATTATTAATAAATATTTTTCTTATATTGTTTAAATATATATTTGTTTAGAATTTTTATTTATTATTTTCATATATTTAGGGTTGGGTTGTAAATATGGTGCCATGGCTATCTATGTTACCTTGTACATTTTTTGGTAAAGCCCTTTCCGAGAAAATAATAAAAGCAGGGTATTCTGTTACAATAACACGTAAAATAATTGAAACAATATGTTTTCTAATTGAAGTCATAAGTTTATTATTTTTAGGTATGGAAATAATACTCCGTAAAAAATTATATAATAGAATTAAATTTAAAATTATTTCAGCAAAAGTGGAAACTTTTCAAAGTGCAATAATTTGTCTTGCATTTATAATTGGTGGTTCAGGTTTTCATAATAATGCAATTGCAGTAAATCCATCAGATCTTGCACCAAAACATTCTGGAAGTGTATTTGGATTAATGAACACTGTTGGTGCCATACCTGGTATACATATAATTATAAATTAATATATATAAATATATATAATAAATATATTTTTATAAATATATAAATATATATATATATATATTTTTTGTTGTTACCAATAAAAATGATAATATAAAATATTTCCAGGATTTCTTGGAGTATACTTTTCTGGACATATATTACATGTAACACACAGCTGGTCTGTTGTATTTATATTTATAGCTCTAATAGATATATTAGGATGTATAATATATTTATTATTTGGTTCTGGACAAGCAATTATATGAAATGTTATCAAATTTTTTATTCTTTCAATTTATTGTAAATAAATCTTGCCTTTAAAATTAACTTTAAAAAATTGTATGAGTGATTTTTAAATATAGATAAATAAAATATTAATAAAATCGATTGCATTCTGTGTATATTAATGTTGTGTATATGAGAATATTTTAATAATGGAAAACATTTAGCTTATATTTCAGTTAATTAATAGATACTAGATTTTTATTTAATTTTAGCATTGTTTTGTTTTAATTTTGATTATTTTTCAAATATATTCAATTAATTTCAATTATAAAAATTTAAAAAAATAAATATTAATGACTCGAATTTGAAAAATTAACGCTAATTCAAAATTAAATCATATTTAATACATAAATCTAAGGATAATACTTAAATCTGATATCTATGTATGATTGTATAATATTGAAAGCTAATGATTATAATTTCTAATACAATGATTTTCTAATGATCATTATAAAATATTTTAAATTAGCTTTAATGTATTATGTTAAATATTAAAATATATTTTTAATTGATAATAATAAAATGATAGCCAATACAATGGTTAGTAAGTGTGATTGCTTACATACATGGAAATGCCTCTTATAAATTGGAGCAGCAAGTGCTTGATGCCTTTTTTAACGCGAGCATGTGAACGGATCTCGAGACTCGACTTTTCGACTTGGAACATCTCGTGAGAATTAATGTACGCAGTAGGGACAATCGCAGAGGTGGAATTTTATTTTTAACGGTACGACCGTATATTTGTTTATGCGAAGTTTCTGATGAACGTGTGATTTGTTCGTTAATGGTTGTCGTTTTTACCGATCGTTCGGTCGTGCCTGCCTCTGCCTGCTGCCGCGAATGTGGATACTTCACGGTGTGCCGTACTGCTGCTACCGCCGCTGTACGTTTGAAGTACTCTCCTCGGCTGATTGCCTTCGGATTTTAACAAATCTTTCACATTCGTGAATGCTTTGAAACTGGTTCGTTATTGTACCAGACTCCGCCGTGATTGTCACTTGATAGCAACACCCGAGGCGCCAAAGCTGTCCGCATCGGCGCTTTCTTTAGCCCAAGTGGTATCAATGTTGTCTGGCAATGGTGTGTAAGGAGAACGTAGTATCATGGTTTGGGAATCTGTCCAGGTAATAAAAGTATTATCAGTTTCTTTTCTAACTAATGCCATATTCTTCTTGTTCGGAAATGGAGTACTATATTTTCTTATTTATAGTACTCCGTTTCGTTTTTCACTATGACCTCTTCATCCTTACTAAATTTTGAACTAACCAAAAAGAATATTCTACAATTTAATCTTAATTGTATGTCAAAAATTTAAATGAATATATTAATATTGAAAAAATAATATAAATATTGATTTTCTTTAATGTTTAATTTAGTTCATTATCGATATATAATTTTTCTGTTTATTATACAGAAATTCCAAGTATGGTAGCAACTGTTTTCCTTTAATTTCGTGTATATAGAAGATATTATAATGAATTAATAATTAAATTTTTTTATGAACATTTTCGTTTAAAACTATAAGAAACGATATATATTTAATATTATTATAAATATTACTATTATTCGTTTTTCCTATAAAATATGGAATATGTATTATAATAAAATTTTAAAAAGTACATTATTAAAAATTTAATGATTAAATATTGTTGCAACATGTTTTAATAAGAATTATACATATATAAATTTTGTTATATACATATTATTATTTTGATATAATAATTTTGATTTAATAATTTTTGATATATAGTTATAATAATAACTATACATAATTATAATAATGAATAATTATTGTTACATCATTATTATATCATTTTTTAAAATAATTTTTAATAAAAACAAATATTTTATGAAAAGAATTTAAATCTAATTTCAATAAATAAGAATATAATATATATTAATATAAATTATATAAAATATTATAATTTAAAATTTATATATTTATAATTTTGAAAGATTATTTAATTGTAAATAATTATTATTTATTCCAATTTAATATTTAGCAATTTTTATAAATTAATTATATTATTATGTTAGTGTTATATATAAGTATATTTTTATATTTTTTAAAATTCTGATTATACAAAAACATTTCATATTTATGAAAAAAAAATATTTTTAGTAAGTTTATTATTTATAAAAAATATATTTATATGTGCAGTTATAAACGCATCGATGTCATGTGCACATTACTAAATATGTGCCTGCCATTTGAAGTACGATATCTTGGCACTTGTGTAGAGGATATTGGTAAACGGGATTATAATGATCTTCGTGACACAGAACATCATGCAAACAGTGCCTCTGACCTTGCCGAGTTAACAACCTTAGGTGTGGCAGATAAACGCACACGAAGGAAACTTGCTCTCTATATGGCATTATTACATTCTTGTAATTATGCATGTGCTGTCATCTTATATAAGAATTTATCAAATTTTGACTATCAAGAAATCTCCAATCTATTAAATGGGACCACCTTTACACCGGATGATCAACCTTTAGAAGAGCTACTCTTGTTGTATACAATGGCTTTAAATCATCCAGCATTTACATATGAGCAGAAAAGTGTTTTCGGTAACATTTACATTAAACTTCAAGAAGAAGAAGCTCGTCTGAATCTCTCAAAATCAAATTCATCCTATAAACAAGCACAAGTATGTGTAAATTTTTATATTTATTTATTTATGGATATAATCTTTAATGTAATGACTATTTTAAATAATTTATTATATTTATAATTAAATACTATTCTTTCTTTAATTTCAAAATTTAATTAAAAGTTAAAAAAGAATTTTTTAATTGTAAATATTATTTTAAATTATATTCTTATATCTGTTGCAATAATAGGGTTGCACGCCATGTATAAATACAAATGAAAGATTAATGGATACAGAAATGCAGGGCAGTTGTATGATAGCTCCACCTCCAATGCAAACTTATCACGGTATGTGTAATTTATATTTTATGTTGAGATATATATATATATATATTAACAATTGTTTAATATCTTTTATTTAATATCTAGGAGAAATGACAATGAGAAATAATACCATGGTAACTGGAGTTCCTCCTGGTCTTTCTATGCCTCCACCTGGATTATGCCTGCCAACTCCAGAACAAATGCCAATGGGATCAGGTGGTGCAACACAATACCTTCATCTTGGCTTTCCATCAGTAAATCATATGCCACCATGGACAGGTCAGGTTATGATGGGGAATCAACTGATGTATCACTCTGGCGACATGTTGGCTTATCCACCTTCCCCCTTAGTCAGCCGTCAATCGTCACCATCCCAGTCTCGATCTCCTAGTCGCAGCAATTCCCCAATGGGTCGCAGAAATAATACAATGCCACGCACCTCTTCGCAAGTGACTCAATCTACTTCAAATACCTTAACAACGTCAACGAGTGCCTCTAACAGTCAGACAAGCATCTGTAGCTCAAATGCCAATTCCCTTCCTCCACTTCCCACATTGGGTACGAACAGAAGTCATCCTAGTCAACCTCCATTGCTTCCATCACGCTCTGTTCCCTTGTCTATCAGCAGTTCTACTACTTTTTCACGGCATAATAGCATCGAGAATACCCCTTCTACCTTAATTCCGGCAGCACCTCAATCAAAACAACCACCACCACCACGGCTGCGGTCTTCAATTTCTGGTGATTCTTTACGAGAAACATTAGGAAAGGAAATGCCAAATTTCAAAGGCAATTTGCAGAATTTTTCTCTTGACGAGGTAAGATAATAGAATTTTAAAATAATTCGAAATTTCATAAAACATTTGATAAAAAATTTTAATTAAATTATTATTAAAAAATCTTAATTTAAATTATACTATTCATTATATTAGATTATTCATTTTATTAGATTAAATCACGAATTTATTCCAATATAATACATATAATAAACATATAAAATATTTTTATGACATTAGCGAATGTAATTATATAATATATTATATAGATTCGAAGAATGAGCGATGAGGACTTGAGAGAAATAGGATTAACGCCGAATGCTGTAGGACAATTGCGAAGTATAGTTAAAAGTCAAACCACTAATGGTTTAAATCAAATTTCCACTGATAAAAAATTAGAAAGTACTACTAGCACAACACATACAGTAGTAGATCCAGCTGAAAATGAGGTAATAATTAGTAATTTATATTTGATATGTATTAATTATAATATTATTAATTTTTATTTAATGAATATATTACAAAATTTTTATATAGGCTATACCAGGAATGGAGATGTTGAATGATAATGGAAATCAAAGCAGTAAGTCAATGCCCTTACAGGAACAGCATCCAGCGATGCATCATCATCATAATCATGCAGCCACTCCTAATTTACGGCGATATCCTATGCCACCATTAGATCCTGCGCAAATACAAATGTATCCTGCACCACCACCGATGTATGCTGCACAGAATGCACCATGTTATGCCTGTCTTACATTACCTGTTGCCGGGGTACAAAATCGATACTCAAGGTAAGAAAAAAATTCACACATTTGTAAAAATCAATCTTTGATTTTAATAATATTTTAAAATATTTTAGGTGCAATGCTCAACACGTATATTGTTTAACACAATTACAAGCCTTGAGGTTAGACCCTGAGGGCAGCAGGCATTGTTCACAGAGCAGTAGTTCCGATAGTACTGGTAGTAGATCTCCGCCGGAAACTCCTCCAGCAGCACCGTGGGTGAGCGGAAGTGAGAGCAATGCACCGCCAGTTACTGATCATCTCAGCTCTGCACCAGTACATTCTACAAGTGCAGTTTCACATCCAGTATCCCAACAGCCTATACAATCTGGCCCGGAAAGGCAACGTACTAGAAGAAATCAGGCACATGTGATGCGTCATAAAAATCAAATGGTGAACGGCGGTGGACCCCCAAATCTATCACAATGTGTTTCCTTTCCCGCGCCACCATCGCATTCGCAGGTCACATATCTGCCGCATGGTTTCCCGGCTTTGAGACCGAGTAGTGGTATTTATTCTAACTTCTCACATGGACCGTATGCAAGGCCAACTTATCCAACCACGTATCAACCTAATGGTGAAATGATGTATCAATATCCTGGACATCCATCTTCGGGAGGAACACCACCACCTCCACCAAATGCAGCTACAACACCTGTTCAGACGCCATATATGCCACCTACTCCAGTTGTAACATACGCACCAGCTGCCGTCCCACCAACGAAAATTTCGTGTTATAATTGTGGCAGTAGTAGTCATCTTGCAGTTGATTGTAAAGATCAAACTATGGAGGATCTTACTAAAAAAGGTACAAAATTTTTCATAATTCATTTCTATATTTTTTATTTTATTTTTATTTTCGAATGGACAATTTATCAAAAAATTGCATATCTGCATACATATATTTGCATATACATATATTTATTTGTATATTTGAATATTACTTATATTAGCTAAATTTTGATTTATAACGATTTTTTTTTTAATAATTTTATATTTTATACAATTTTTTAAATAATTTCTTTTTAATATTATAAATTTTTCGTGTTTTTTTTTTTCTAAAAATTTTAATTATATTATAATATTACTTATAATACGAATTTAATTATGTTATTACATATGTATAGAATAATTATATATGCGAATAAAATACATACGTGGCTCACAAAAAATATTTTTACTTTCAGCTCAATACCGTCTAGATTATAGTATAATGAAACAACCTGGAGAGTGCCCAAGTTCTGACAAGTGATCCCCTGCCGTGGACCATTCAGCAATTTATCATTATCATCATTACCGTAATTACCGTTACCATCATTGTCACTATTATTATTACTACGATCCCGCCACAGCAATACAACCTAAGTACCGTTCAAAAGATGACTGCTATCGCTCCTCATGCAAGTTTTCGGTGATTTTTGTAGACATCCCTAATATTCAGGATGACGATTTTTTAACAAAGGAAGTTTCGCGATTCACGGTACCAGGTATACTTTTTACAAGTTCTTATTTATGATAGTAATTCTTAATTATGATTGTAAAAAGATGTAGCGTCATGTACAAAAGAAAACAGAGAAGCATAACCCAGAATGCTCTTATCTATGTTTTTAGAATACATTTTGAAAGGTTTTTGTTAGGTATTGACTCGTGTCTTACCCCAACGATACCTATGAATTACATATAAACATACACACACATACACACAGCACGCCTCAACCCAATTTCTCACTATTTCTCTAGTAACTAGCCATAAACGAAATACAAGAAAAAAAGAACACATTGTGCTCTGATTAGATGAGACTATCATGTTTGACTATATTTATCATTGATACTTTTACTTCTACTAGTATGTCTATACTATCACTATTACTACTATTACTATTAAACTATTACTATTACTTCTATTATCGCTACTGAGCCACGACATTTTTATGTATACATATTTTCTCAATTCTTATGTGCGCAATGTTTGAACGAGTGCAAAAGTGAATGATCAGAGTAAGTAAGAAAAATTAGAAAGAGAAATGAATAATGCACTAAGAAAGTGAGAATAAGCAAGGAAGGAAGAAAAGAAGGAAGAAGGAAAAAAAGACGGAAAGAAAGAAAAGAAAAAGAAAGAACGAATGAACGAACGAACGAAAGAAAGAAAGAAAGAAAGAAAGAAATGGAGAACGAAAAAATGAAAGAACAACAAACCATAAGTGTTCGATCGTCTAGCTGCCTTTGCGCTCCTGTGTGTATAAAACTATAAATATACGCCGCTCACCACTCATTTATTAACTTATGAATAGTTAATTAAATAACAATATAATTCTCATCCTATTTATAAATAGTCATGCAATCACGTGCAACTTAAGCAATTTTATACGAGTTTTATTGATCGCCCATCTTTTTTAAGTGTAAGCAATGCGTTATATGCGTTTAAAATCTAGTAAGTAATAAAGAAAAGAAAAGAATAATGACTCGAGTATGAACTAGTGTTAGTGGTATGAGTGGAGTGGCAATATGCGCTAGAATCATCTTGTCAACAAGTTGCTACTGCATTTAAAACAATTTTTAATTAAAAAAAAAATAAAATAAAAAAAAACATTATTAGTATGTATCGATCTAATTATATTAGAAATGCATAATTTGGCAACTCTTTGTCTAATTCTCACACTTATGATGACTCATAATTTTTAATTTGTAAGGCTCTCATACTATGTACTTGATCTATGTAAAATAGATCTTATAGATATCCAAATTGATAGGAATCGAAGAAAAAAAAGAAGAAGAAAAAAAGAAAAAAAATTATAAAAATGAACGAGAGTGGATATGCGTGACTTTGAACATACATGCATTTAAAAATTCTTTTTCAATAGCTCTTGGATACAAAGAATTTCTCGGATGTTCCTGTTTTTGGTTAGTAATGAATTTTTTTTTGGCAGCTAGTCAATAGCCACACAAATTTTGAAATTAACATTTTAGAGTTAGTGTTTTGCAAGGATAAAAGTTTGACAAGAAGGGAAAGTTCGGTGTTGATAATTTTAATATTATTTGAATCTGATTTATTAATTTTATTATGATATGTAATTCATTTTAATGATATTGTTTTTCATATTGTATTATTGTGAACACGTGAAAATTGAAAGGTTGAAGATCGTTCGAATTCCAAAAAGAAAGTCAAAAATTAATAGGGAAAAAGTAATATTGATATGAATCATATATAATACAAATTAGTCAAACTTTTGTCAACTTTTTATAAGAAGTTCGACTATATCGTAATTTACTAGAGTCTACTTAATTCGACGTTTAAGTAATATTTAGTGAAAGTACTATCTTTGTTTAATATCCGGTGTTTTCATATCGATCTAAATAAAAAAAAAAAAAAAAAAAAAAAAAAGTAATAAAAATTTATCTTGCCGTTACGATTAGTCAATAATGATTTTTTAAAAAAAACTACTACCTGTAGAAAAATGTCAAAGTGGCTGTGACTAATGAAAGAAGTGTGGAAAATTCATATTGAACGCGAAATTTTTTTCAATCTCATAATACAACCAAATTTTTTGATATTCTTGAATACCTTATCTATGAATCAATATCAATAGTAAGTGACAAATTATGCTATGCAACAAGATCAACGAAACATTTCGTTTGTTTCGCCATATCGTAAATTTTGATATGTTGCTTGACAAGAGCGAAGAAAAAAATTAGGTCGCAAAGGTCGTTTTGTGAGTTTATTATATGTGCTTTAGTGTATGAAACAAAGGAGTCTGACTTTGGAACACAATATTAAATAATAATATGATATAAACGAGAATTGCGAATCAATTTTTCCGATAAGGCTTTAAACATTTTTAACGCCTTAAAATTCGAAAATCTATCTCTGTTCTTGGACAAATTTCATTTACGAAATTAAAGACTTTATTCTCCAATTTCGAATAATTCTACTAGCGATAAAAAAAAATAAATAATCCATCTTGCTAAGCAGTAACAAATCATTGTTGATCAAGTGATCAACTATTGATCACGATTAATCGTGTTGTTATAGAAGCAATGATTATTAAAATATAACACTTTATTGCTGTTTACTAACTGTTGATACTAATAATCGAGAAAACACGTTTTAATATATATCATTGGCAATAAGATGAACGCGATATAATCCCCTCTTATAATCGTTAAGCAATATTTCCTATAGCAACAACAGTACCTATGTATGTTTCTAAAAGATATTATAATGTATATTATTAATGTTATTTAAGCAGCAATAAGGGAGTTTTGAATTTTTATCGATAATCCGCAATCACACATACGTATATAAAGAAGAAGAATCGCAAATAAAATCACTTAAGCAATAATGTCATATTTAATGGCATAACATATTATGTGATTGTTATTTAACAAAAAAAAAAAAAAAAAAATTCGATTATAAAAAATCTAATTAAGAAATTCAATATCATTTTCATTATATCGACTATACTCATTTTATTGCATTTCATCAGTTTGATATGTTCAGCTGAAATAATTAAAAATTTTATCAGGAATTTGTATTCTCTCTCTCTCTCTTNCTCTCTCTCTCTCTCTCT